AACGGGAAAATGGGGGTGGACAACAACAAAGGGAGGTGCACTTTCAGGCGTGATATAACCTTTATTACTCACTTTCTGACTGTTCTGACGCGGTAATCCGCCCTGACTCTTCGAGAAACTTTGCATGTAAACGCCCTGTTGCTGCGGCAAATCCTGGGGAACCACCTCCAGTTGTCACTCTTGCCTCTCTGAGAAATTTTGGTCACCCCCCGTGCATCTGAAACCATTGCCGTTCCAAGGATTTGCTGTTTAGGTGTCAGCATGGAACCCTCTTGCAGTTTTAATGGCCTCCTGAATATTTACCTGTGATCGAATTGGAATGACTCCTTAAACTAACGAGAGTAGACTGAAAACAAAGAAACTGAACCAAACTGGGGACAAAGACTAAAGAAACTATAAGCAATTTCATACGTAATCTAAAAAATACTTCCCAAATGCCAACARCAGTCKCCCAGCCATTTCTGTTTTCAAGAGAAGGTTGTTAAGGGATTCCTGAAAACTGTGACGACGCGACAGGTAGGTCAAAATACTCCCCTGCTGGTCGCCGGGGACCTCGGAAGCGGGTGCGGCGAGTGACAGGCGCCGTTGCCCTTGGCTTCGGCGAACGGTAGGCAGCCCCTCCCCGAGTTTCCCCACAACGGGACGCGAAGGCAGCACTGCAGGTAGGAGGGAAGATTACGGTACTGCGGATTGTGAAAGCGAAGACTACTACGGAATGAAACAAGCAGTTTCTGGAGTCCCTCCTTCGGAGACCGAGACTGGACACGCAACTCCTCTCTTTAACTGTGAGGAAACTAGTAGGTCTCTATAGAACAGCGGATTTATTCACAGAGAAGAAGACTAAACACAAACTGAGGACGAAGTTAGATAGGTTGATTGCGAGGAAGTGCAAGGTTAGTGTGCACAAGAGAGTGAATGTTAGACTGCCATTTGACTCTAGGATGAGGAAGACAGAAGTTCGTCGATTGACTGAACAAGTAGTGGGGGAAGCGGTTCGTGACAGGTGCCTCGCAGATTTCATAAAAACAAGGATTCGCGTAGTCTGGAGGAGAAACCAAAACGTAGGGGAACTCTTACACAACCAGAAAAAGTATGCAACAGTGGTAGAGTACCCGTGCCCATGCAAGACTTCCAGCCTTCCGAAGCATGAAGGTCATGTGCTCACCAGGTTCTCAGATATAGGAGTTCCTCGCTTTGTGAGGAACTCGAAGAATATCTCTAGACATGCGAAGGCAGGGGACAGCGACACTATTAGGCGGGCTATTGACGAAGGTACAAAGCATCTGAAGGGTAGCTCGGCTCGACTACGTACGGGAGGAGCTATTATGACCGAGAGGAAGACCAGCCCTGCTGCCTTGACGGACGAGCAGGTTAGGGAGTGGGGCATGCAGTTCGACGGTCTGGTGCTGACACCCGTAGACCGGAACCAGGGGGACACAGCGGTTTTCTGTCCGGTCCTTTACAGGCACGGCTTCGGGAAAATCTTCGCTTGGAATTCCAACTATGTTACCATTGGCAAGGCAGAAGACGAAGCTGCGATCTTGAAGACGTCCAGGGAGGATTTCTTGGCTGGTGGACTTGACTCGATTGGGAAATGGAGACCGGATGGGCGACTGGGCACAACATACATGATCCCGAAACATAAAGATCTCGCACGCTGGCGACCCATCGCGCCGGCCCCAGCGGATCCAGTTAGCCTGGCAACTAAGAGAACCGCGAGGGCACTACACTGCCTGCTGATCCGCCTACCTGCTAACAACACCTTCAATTCGGTGGGCGATCTGGCGGAACGACTCAACGCGACTACGCAGAGAATGCGATCTGCAGGGTGCAACCAAGTGGTCGGGCGATGCTACGATATAAAAGAGATGTTTTCAAGGATTCCGCACGAAGCAGTGATCAAGGCGGCGCATCAACTAATGAGAAGGTACGAAGACGACGGCTGCAGGCAGGTAAAAGTCTCACTGAGGGGGAAGCTATGCGTCATCAGTCAAAATAAAAAGAAGACAGAAGGGTACGTGGGGATCACTCTTAAGAAGATCATGGAGGCCATTCGGTACGATCTGATGCATGCAGTGGTAAAATGCGGAGACAGGGTGGTTAAGCAAGTGTTCGGCATCCCGATGGGCAAGTCGACTAGCACGGTGCTGGCACAAGTAACGTGCGCAATGGCAGAATTACAATTCATCAAGGGCCTGGGTTCCGACAGGAGCTTGGTGGCGGGTTGGCGTTTGATGGACGACATCACAATTATCGTAGGATCGGGAGGTCCACTTCAGCCGGACCACATCTTTACGGAGTTCGAGGACATCTACGATGCTCACCTGGAGATAGTTAGAAAGGATGAATGCGGCCTCACGTGGCCATTCGTGGGTGGACAGATGTTCATCAGCGGACCACCTCTGGGACTGCACTATGTACCCTGTACCAAGAATACGGACTCTCTGCACGAGAAGGGAGTGCTGCTTTTCCAGACGATGCAAGACTATGACTCCTACTCGACGAAATGCGTGAAGAAAGGAGTTTTGTTAGCCACCCTGCGAAGACTGTGGGACCAGACCACGAGTAAGCAACTGCTCTTGGGAGCATTGGCGTTCGCTGTCTGTGAAGCAGACCTCCGGGGTTACCCCCCGGAGGTCTCTCTCAATGCCTTGGCCAATTTGGCCAAGGCTGTGCCAGATAGAGCACTGCACAGCCTGCACGCAGCCCTGTCCTTTTCAGCCAAATGGGGCAAGGCTGGCCGGCATCTGCGGGGTCTGGACACACGGGGAACACACGGTGAACACAGATAAGACTGAGCCTTGTGGATATTTTCCTATATTTTCCTGTATTTTAGTTTTAAATTTTTGTTTCGGAGGTTTTTCTGAAGTTTGCTTCTTGTTCTGCTTCGGATGTTTTTCCCCCGCAAAGTCGAGACTGTTTCGGCATATCAGTGGGAGCATGCACTTCGCAGAGCAGTTGGGTGGCCTAGGTCGGATGGGTTTTAAGTCCCAACGGAATTCTGCAAGCACGGGGGCATGGGGGACTCGCGACGACGATTCGTGAAAGTAGGGGACTGCATGAGTCTTGAGCGGAGTCGACCCCGCCCGAAGACCAGTGACCGAATCCGAATGCTTTTGGTGAATTACGGGGACTAGGTAYGGGTTTTTCGGATTAATGCTTTTCAGGCTCCCAGCGGTAGATAGATCTTGGGCGGCGAGATTTTGGCCGACTTTCATTACACTTCTGGCCCGTGATTGAATCCAAATGTTTTTGGTAGATTACTACAACCTGATACAGGTAGGCTGCTGTAAATGCCTTTCCTGGCCTTCAAGCGGTAGATAAATCTTGGGCGCCGGAACTTTTGGTCGACTAGTTATACTTCTTGTTTTGGTAGAGGTCTGCAGCAGGATTCTCGCGTGTGACAAACGACGGAAGCGACTAGACGAGCAACGCTACTTAACCAGGGAGGCAACGCATTAGCCTCCCTTTTTAAGCTCAAAGACTCTACGGAGTCACCCTCCTGAGGATGCCTGTGTGGGCAGGCGAAACCGGTCGAGGGATGCCACATGATGCTCAGAGTGCAGTTTGTATGTCTCTCTGTTCATGCAAGCAGACGGTTTTCTGTGTGTACTTGTGTGTGAGGTCTGACATAGCTGCTCGGACTGTGTGCCAAAGTTCCCCACTCTCTCTCTCTCTCT